TATTAATCGAAACTCATTTCGGACAAACTTTTCACGAAGCGGAGGAGCGAAACAGGTAGAGAGAGAGACAGTGAGCGACGCAGCCCACCGTTAACACCGATTTTCACCGTTCGAGATCGGCCACGATATTACCGGATATACAGTACACGTACGAGTATCCTCGTTAGCGAGGATCCCGAAATCGCCCTTTCACCTAGCCGATTCTATTGAATTCTTATGGAAAAAACAACAGGCGGGAATGCAAAAATATGAAACAATGATAAATTTGAATTTTATAGAGATGTGTTGTTACGATAATAGGTTATAATTTGAGCTCACTCGTTTTTTTAGAAAAAAATCTAATCAATCTTGGAATTTCACTCGAAAAAGTTGTTGAATTAAAAAAAAATGTTAAATGAGAAAAGTCTAGTTTTTAGATAGATACGTTTGAATATTGAGAGAAAAGTTATATATTTGTAATAATTTTTATGCTAAATACTATTAAAAGTGAAAATTGTAATATAATGAAGGATAGAAAGTAGTATTGCCACGAAAAAAAAAAAAAATAAGAAAGAAACGATAATTCTTTGATAAAAACAAGGAGATTCGGAGGTATCGTATTGATGGCCAATTATTTGTCCAGAAAATCTAATAATAAATACTCGTTGTTGTATCGATACCACTTCTGGATTTCTTATTTAAAAATAGATATTACACACGTACATAAATTCCACGAGAGAGGCATCATTGTTCGAAAAATGTTTGCGTTATTATGATCAAAAGTGAAGCCAAATCATTTGTGTGGAATATATCTTCGAACAATCTCCTTTAATTAAAATTTCCTATTTAATGAAAATTGAAATTTCTATCATTTTTTCATCGTGACATCTTTGTTAAAAGTGAATCGAAATATTACTCATCATTATTACGAAGTATTAAAAATTAAAAATAGATTACTGAGAAACAGTGGAATATTTATTTCGAAAAATAATTTTGTTGCGTTAAAATATATGCATAATTTTAAGCCATAATAGGTAAAAGAGAAAAAAATATCTTTTATAAGAGTTCTAATAATAAAATGGCGTAATGACTACGAATATTATTAAAATATCGATATTCGATACTACTTCAACGATTGGTTCGTCTCTAACTTTCCTTCAACACCTGCATTAAATAACACCTGATGGCGAAGTCCTAGGCAAAAGAAGGACCTTTACCAGGGACTACGTCATAAATTCGACACTAGCAATCCTTTCTATCCACGAGCACGTATCGAATCATTTAATTTTCCAACTCGATAAACTCGACATATAACACATCGCTGCTAATTAACAGTCAGCCATGTATAATTCATGTGCTATTTGCTAATGGGGACAGAAATACTCTCGAATCTTTCGCGCCGCGAAATTTCATGTATACCAATGCGATCCTAGGGGAAATAAAAGATCCCTGTATTGGTATTTTATCGGCCGAATCGATTAACCGGAACCGTGAATCATACGAACGGTCGAGCCTTCACGAAATTTTACGGTAATCGAACGCTGATTCAATGCGACGAGTTGAATCTCGACGAGATATAACGATATTTTTCTAATTTATCCAATACTTTTATAATCAAATGTCACTTTCTCATCAAAATTGAGAATAAATTCTTTTTTTTTTACAAACACTATGATTTTTTATAAATAGATAAATTTAAAAAAAAAAATTCTATCTTTATTCTAAATAAATTTTATTCTGATAAAGATAAAATAAAAGAAAAGATGCTAGTGAAAAGAATTCTGCGTATAAGATGAGAAGTGTTGGACAAATCGTGAAAGTGAGAAGTCATCTTTTTTTGGAAATTCGTACGTTCAACCAAAGAGAAATTGTGAAATTATTATACGATTTTTTGCGACAGATAATGCTTAAATAAATTTCTTTTTTAGTTGTTAATATTTAAAAAAAATTAATCGGTGATAATGAATTCTTTTTTCATATAATTATATCCAAGATTGGAAGATATAAGTGCATCAAAGTTACTAGAGAAATCCTATTGGACGCGACGAATGCGCCAGACGAGACGTGCTTTGGTCTCGAGACGATTCGAACGAGATCGAAATTTAGCGAATTTCCCGGTTTCTCGCCCCCTTTGATGATCCCCCGGCCGATATTCCGGCCAGACGGCGGATACGTAAACCTACACGTCGAAAATAAATTTTGCGGAGTATTGCCGGTTCATTCTAAGGCGCATAGAATGATAGCTATTTCCGTTAAGGAGAAAAAAACCGGTGCCACTGTCTGTCCGTGGCTTCTAAAGATAAAGCGTCTGCAAGCGATTTAACAAGAAAATCACTCGGCTCCTGTCTGCATCCTGCCCTATCGAATTCGAATCAACCCTTTTCCCCATTCGGAAAATAACTCGCGTGAAAAAAAAAATCACTGAGAAATATCCCTAGAAAAAAGAAAAGAAAAAGATAGAAAAAGAACGAGATACATACCTACGATAGAAAGAAAAGAGGAAAAAAAAGGATGCACGAACGAACTGTGTATTATTCTCTATTCGAAATCTATCGATGGCTAGAAAACAGCAGACGCGGATGTTGACTCATTGCCACTCTCACTTTTGCCGCGATTTGCATCGATCTCTTCCACATACGTATTTGCACGCTGCGAAAAATCCGACGGTACGTTCGTGATGTCGTGGACGCCACCGATCTCTATTCGATATTTCTCACTTGTTCACACTTTTCGTTGATCAAAATTGACTATAGATAGGTAAATTCTCGAATCGAAACACATAGCACCGGGTCTCAGACACGTTTCTATTTATATTTTGATGTATTCGCGCCCGATTTTTGCGTAGAGGTTAACTCATTCACTCGTCGATGAATTAATGTACAACGGACAGAGGAGAGGGGGTGGGGCGAATCGTTCGCCTATTGGCCGCTGTTTGTCTCGATTGAATCGATACGTAACTGTTCGAGTTGAGAATTCGACCGGGAAGATTCTCTTTTAATCGCGATAGGACTCGCTTTATGATTGGAGATTAGTCGATGATGAATCGAGAAATCAGATAAACAGAATTATCGATATTAGAAACCGAGCTTCGATTGTTATGAGAAACGATAAGATGTATTAAGAAAGATTGATTAGCGAAATGACGGTTTTAGTTAATTCTAATTCTACTCGTAAGAAAATTTCTGTGTGCATATATCGAAAATATTAATTATTTATCGATGTTTTACATGCAACGAAATTTCAAAAGTATTTCCATTTCGACTTTTAAAAGAAATAGAATAGAAAATTTGTGTTTCTTTTTAGAAATTAATTTCACAACAGTCTGAAAATAGATATTGTTTGGATTGCTTTATACTTTATACTTTGTACGCAAATATAAAAATATATTAAAAAAAAAAAAAAAAAATTCAAAAAATTTATAAAATTTTTGGAAATAACGAAAATATTAATTTTCATATGAAAGCAAATTTAGAAAATTAATGGATTCGCTTGTCGAACAAGAGCTCGTTTCACGACGTTGATCATTGCGAAAGCGACGACAATAGCGATCATTTGGTTGCTAATTAACACCGATGTGAGAAGAATTGGTGTTGCTATGTCGCTATGGCGTGTCAAGAGGACACTGATTCTTGCTACGCAGCCACGGATTGCTGTAATCCAAATAATTACCATCACCATTCTTTCTTTATAATAAAATTTTCTTTTTTTTTCTCACAGAAACTACTACACTTCTATACGATTCAACTCTTACGAATCGTTTAATTCTACATTTCAATTTAACAATCAATTCTAAAATCCATTTTGTTTTATTGGGAACGAATTACGAATGCAATTTCGATAAAGCAAATATTGATAAGCAAACCTGTAAAATTCACGTGAAATTCATAAGTCCCCACCTCGTATAAAGAATGACTGATCCTTTCCATCGAATTAATACGTGTAATCGATATAAATAACCGATGGATCAAATAATCGAAAATCGCGAACCGCTTTCTTCCTGTTTACCTATCTTACCTTGTAGATAAGATTAACAAAATATCGAAAACGTTATTAATAACACGAATATACGCGAACAATCTTATCTACTATATATCTTCTATTAAATTCTTATTTCATATCTTTCATCGTATATAAAGTAGAATTAAGAGACATGTTAAAATATATTTATCGCGAGATAGATGAAATATCGTAAAGATCATGAAAATTCGTAACGATGAAAAAAGAAATGTAGCAAGAAGAAAAACACGTATTAAACTGATGACAACGATCGGCGATGTATGTATTAAAGGAGAAGAGAGTGGGGATAAGAGGCGGGGAAGGTTAATTTTACGCGACGCTATGGAAATCCGAGTCGATACGTCAAATCCTCTCTGCACGGGATACACGCGAACTCGTATAATACCGCGGCTACACGAGACCGTCTCTCGTTTTTGTTCCTCTTATTCTGTCTACGTCGTCCGTTGTACACTTCCATTTAACAGCTAGCAGTAGCGGTGCACTGACTCGAAAGTCTGGGAATCGAAACCGCACGGATTCCCCGACGGCGAGCCGCCGACGCGACTAGACGCGGGCCGAGAAAATAGCGAAATTTTTACCGAAGTATAAAGAGTCTGTCTAAAGCACGGTGCGCATCGTCGATGCTGGAAAAGAGACACAAGCGCGCGCACATATATAGAGAAAAAATCGAAATAAAGATATATTCACGGTATGAAACAGACAAGAAACAAGAACGACATTTTCTCGTGTTCGAGATCCGTCAAAACTTCTCCAACGATTGATTGATTTATTATCACGAACGAGAGAATTCTTATTGGTAATTGTTATCGACAATTCTTATTGGCGAATATCGTTCGTAGGCAACGATACCGTGACGACGATCGTCGTTAGTTTTTCCCTGTCGCGGCTCCCCTCGTGTGCGCGGCATGTAGCTTTTTCCCATCGAAACGAAAAATAATCGACAATGCAGCCGTCAACGTCGAAGACATACTGTCCAGCGAATAAGAGATGGATTGCGTGCTAACCTGAAAGTCTAGCGAGGAATCGAAGCATGCCAGCGGCGGAAGACCAGCAATGAGCCGCAGTTCCAGCGACCAGAATTCCACGGGCGATCGGCATTTGTGTTTTCCTCCTCTTTCCCCAATTGTCCTGCGTATGTGTGTGTGTGTGTGTGTGTGTAATCGGTCTGGACTCTTGTGTCTGCGTTCCTCTTCGCTGTATGCCAGAGAAAGAGAGGTAAGGGAACCAAATGAAAGAGAGACAAGGACGGACTGTGGCCAGGGGTGACGCGAGTCCTAGCCTAACCTAACCTCTCTTCCTCCTTTGGTGTAAAGGAACACACAATCACGCACCGGATGAAATGCAAGATCTTCTTTGGACGGCGGTAAGCACGAGACAACGGGTCCCGCACTATTTTTCAGTCCATGGCACACACTGTTTCCATGCCCGTGATTTTTCGGATCTTTGACACTCCCGATTCGCCTGGACAGCCGGTTTCGTTTACGTGTCGTACCGTGCGCGCGTGCCGTGCCGTGTCGCGCCAGTGAAAACTCTGCCAGCGCACAGACAGGAATGGTATAGACTAAGACAGACGTACGGCCGACGGGATAGATAAATTGGCCTTCAGCGAGAGAGAGGGAGAAAGAAGCAGTCTATTAAGGGGGAGGGGAGAAGCGCGTACGACGGCGTAAAGTCCGACCACGGCCTCTACGGGATGCGAGAGAAAGAGAGACGGATTCTCTCTCACTCTCTCTCTGAATACTCTCTGTACACTTCGACACGATGTTGTCACGATTCACGCACTCATTCGTTTCTCGACATTCGAGTAGCAGCCGCGTAGAACCGTACGCACGCACTTTAGGAACTTCTACAAAGGTTCGAAGAAAACCCGCTTGTAGCGACTTGAAACGGATGTGTATATACAACGAATACGCGCGTCACACAGCGATTGTACGCTTCGAAACACTGTTACTCTCTCGCAAGTCATGAAACTCTCTCTTCTCTTGAGCTATTTTATGATGGTAATAAACAACGTGAACATGCGCTATCGTAGCAATGAACGACGTGTTTGTACGATTGTCCCTTCGATACTCGTGATGTAATTCGTTCTTATTTTTCTTAAATATGTCATTTTGACCGCGGTGTTTATCGCGGTGCTCTTCGCGTTGTTCGTGGGCCCTGACGGGCCCTCGCGGTTCTATTGGCAGCGACACTGCACTGTCAGACACAGACTACGATAGAACAGCCGAGCAACGACTGACTCCTCCACTCGCGAGCCACCAGCAATGTTGCCACATCACTCCCGAGTCTCGATCGGACAAGTCTTCGGCCACCGACGGACAGGTACGACGGTCACTGCGTTCTTGGTGCTGGCGCGCGATCGACTGTTCCATTCGATTTGTTCTCTCCTCTTCTCTCTACGTTGTGATTTTCTTCTCGATAGACCGTAATTGTTCCCCTTTTCGTTTATCCTATCCAATTTCGTCTTGCTCTATACTATACGTCGATATTATATTCGCAAAACTAAATTGTTTTCACTTTGCCACGACTTGTCATTGATTCTGTTAGCTTTTTCTCGCATTCACTTTTGCATCGTTCTTTCAATTTCGATATGTGTCGCGACGACGAGGATCACGCTCGACAATCGATAGCTAATGTCGCTACTATCGACTGCGGATTCAGTCAGTCATCGAAATATACGGAACACCGAGATCCGAACGAGAACACAGCACAGAGCTAACTGGCCACATCTGCTGCCGATTTGCTAGCAGTTCTGTTAACTACAGCGCACGGCCGGCCAGTCTGCCTCTGCCAGCCAGTATGCTCCCTCGCTTTCTTACTCTTGCCTACCAGCAGCCTGCCAGCCTTCTCGAATCGGTCGAGCCTACCTCTCTCATGTATTCTCTTTGCCTCTCTACCCTGCCACACCGCTTTCCTTCTCCTTTCCTCTTACTATTCCCTCTGCTCGTCTCTCATTCACTCGCTCACTCACTTTCTCCATCCTTCTTCCTCGGGAACTCTCGTTTCCACCTACCACCTTCCTATCCCGTTCTCCGTTCAATCCTTCGCCTCTCGCTCTCCATCGAATGAATGGTTTTAGTTCGGGAGGGCGGCCGTGCCGGAAACAACCGATTGCATCCGGAAATCACCGAGCCTGTACTTCCCGCATTAGAGCGCTTCTTGAATAAAATTCTATTCTTTCCTCCTTTCTTTCCTCACCGCGTGATATCTTCACGGTTTAACTTTCTTCCAAATTCTCGTCACATCTATTTGTCCACGGAAACAGAAGTTTGTAAAATAATTCGTTCATCCATGTTAATTTGTTCCGACAAAATTGTCCACAATTCCACCGCAACTTACCATTCTCCGTACAGGGTGTAATCCGTTGTACAGGCTCGCGTTCCACGAACCTTTTCGTGTAACTTTTCGTGCGTGAAATTGTAATACGTTTTGACGCGTGCATTTCGTTTCTAATGCACGCGTTCTCGCGCGTGTTTTCTTTCGCCGCTTCCTCTCTTTTTCTCATTTCCGTATTTCTTCGTTCAATTGACGCCACTTCTCTCGACGAAGTGTCCCGTAACGGTAGTTAAATTGTGTATCAGTCGCTCATATGAATGCATTTGCATTATTGTACCATGCAAATATTCTTTCCTATTAATACAAAGTCACTTCTCACGCACATGTTTTAGCTCGCATTGCCCTAATTTTCCTTCAATTATAGACTGTAATTTGAATTTTAGACTTAATAGACTATAATTTGAATTTTATATGCTGATATAAAAAATAATTTTCATGGGCAATAATTACATATATTTCAAAATAATTACGGTGCGTTTATACATATGAATATTTCGTGGTTATATAGCACGTTTGCAGAAAAATCATGAAGGGATTACATGTTCCATTTTCCATGAAACTGGAGCAGTATTTTAGGCCGAAAATCGGCGCCGATTAAAAGAACTGCAGCGTCTGGTGAACTAAATTATGCAAGAAAAATATACCGAAACTCTTCGGTAGGATACGTCAGTGAAATGCCTGTACTGCCATCCTGCACGTATTTTTTAAACATTTCTTTAAGATCCGCTCACTCACCATGGAATGTTGAAAGCGGGCATAATTTGTAGGTACAGTTATGACGAGTCAAATTAAACATCTCGTTTCAAGTTCTTTATTGTTTATTCATTTTTGCAAAGGATAAGTTTAACCGCACTTTTAACAACAACAAATTAAACTTAAGTCAGAAAGAATAACTTAAAAATAACTGACAATGATCATCGTGAAACACACGTTTGACGATAAACCGAAGCATTTATTTACGAATTGAACGATGATATCGCTTTCTGTTTTACCGGCCCTTCCCGTAGAATTCCTTCCTTGGTTGCATTAATTTTAATTCATGTAACGATAAAAATCTTGTATTGCATTATGCAAGCCAGTGCATGACGTAACGCAATACGCCGATTCATAAAGTCCAATGAAACACACGGAATGGTAATCGGAATTGTCTTTTAATGTACGCATCCTGTGCACACGTAACGACATCTTACAGCGAAATGCGACACTTGTGGCAAGAAAGTTCATTCAGTGGACGCAATGTGGCGCTTTCTTCCATTCGATTATTTCTATCTTTTTGTCATGGTAATAAATAAATTTTACATCTTTTCAGAGAAAAATAATACTTTCTTTATCAAAAAATATTCTCACTATAATTTCAAATATCTTTGAACTATTGACTTCTAACGTGAAGTAAAGAAGAAAGCCAGTCTCAAGACTTTCTTTTTCTTATTTTAAACTCATCAATGCCAAGGTAATTTTTTGCCAATTTTTTAAAATAGAAACTTAACAGACAAATCGATCGTAAATTTTATTTCGAATTTTTTCAAACGTACTTTCACAACGATATCAAGTCTAAACTTGTCACGCAGCTTCTGAAGAAAGAGAGAAACAGTGAGAAACAATAGGGGCAGGTTCCTCGAGATTGCGTTTGCATAAAGGACATCTGAAATATATTTAAAAATAGTGCGAGAACTATTGAAGCATTTCGCCTCAGCTGGCCTCGGGAACATCTGCGGAGCAATCTCGATCCTTGCGTCATTATTCCTTTGTAACCGCGCACCATCGATTCACAGGTTTCCTCAACCATGGAAATTAATCAACCTTAGACCATGATCAGAACTGATAATGGGAAAACGTGACGTTCATCGTGGCTGAGACTCGTCGATCGAGAAACACGATTCTATCATCTGCTTCGTTTTCTTTCTTCTTCTTTTTTTTTTTTTTTTTTTTCCTTTTTTCACTTGATCTGAGATTCAATCGAAGAATTGGATTCGATGGAATGATTTCGATGGACGCGGTTAAAGGGAATTTTATCGTCGAGCGGTCATGAAAATAACGATCGAATTTCGCGAATTCACCTGCGGAGGAATGGGTCACATCGCGATACAATCAATTATCGATTAGAAAACTAGAAGTTACTTTTCAACCAACGATTCCTGATTATAGGCTTCCTCTGTTAACTGTTACCGAACAAATGCATTACGTCCAAGGCGAATCAATAATGTGCGTATCGATCATTTATTCTTTTGCGATTCACATGCAAAAGAAATCACAAGTATAAATATGCAACTTGGTAACTCATAAAAATATAATTAAATGTAAAATATTATAAGATATAATTCACCACCAAAATCAAAACTTTGTTTTGTGATTAAGATAAATAAAAATATATTTACATTATCGTTAAAAAACTGCTTTGAATATATTTCTTAAATTTAACACGTGCAATGAAATTTTCTCTTAATAAATCTTGATAGTTTCATATTTAACAAACATTCTCGAACAATTTTTATGCACTGTAAACTTTTCTTCAATTTAACTAGGAATCAAAATTCAAATTCAATTTCATTAAGTATAAATCGTGTTCTCTTTCAGCATCCTCCAAACATTCTCCAACGATCCAACCATTTATTCGCAAAATCTATTCGCAAGTTGCAACCATCGACTCAGGTTGGTAATCCTTGGCAGACGTCAAGTTGAGCGATAAATCGATGGCCAAGATGGAAGGGACCCGTGTCAAGATGTGACATCGTGCCTCAACGTAATCAAAATACAGCGGGGAACAAGGACTATAGTTTGATGGACGAGGGTGTAATATTCATAAGGGAGCGTGGCGGGCGCAGGCGTGGTTGTCGTTGTAGACAGTGTCCTCAGGCTTGTCTACCTGTTTCCGCGGAAGGCGACCGTTGTTCGTCCATCCGGTACCGACTCCATTCTCCTGAGCCATGTCCACGACTCTAGTTGCAGTGTGTGCATTGCTGCTTGCGTTTCTTGGTGTTTCCATTTGTCAAATACCTATGAACATGTGTAAGTCTATATGATGAATTTTGATTTAATATAATTTTTTTTTATTTTATTTTAAAATGATATTAAATGTTCGATGAACGATGTGTGATTTTTTTGTAAAATTTTTCAACAAGGTATTATTCTTGAATTTTGTACGAAATTATGTTATGCTTACTTTTGATTTTGTTCTCTTTGTCACGCTTGTAGTTTTCTGCTTTTTGGGATGCATATAATTCTTTAATTTTATTATATAAATTCTTGATTTTGCTTTTTGCTTTTTTAAAATAGATAATAGATTGAAAACTTCTTTAGATAATTTCTTGTCTATTGTTCGTCGCAGAATTTATTATTTTTCGTATCATTTGTCACAGAATGATGCTTGATTTTTTTAAATAGATAACAGATGATTTGAAATTGCTTTAGAAGACTTATTACTTTTCTTTGTCATTTCTTCGTACAATATTGCACGGTAAAGATGATATGAAATTAAATACACGAGTTAAACATTGATTGGATGGCATGAAACTTTGATTACTTCATCGATACATCGATATGGAAAGGTTGCTGTACTATTGTTGAATTATTCACGCGACGAACCTGTCTGACTGAAACCTTCCGCATCTCCTGCGCCGACTCGGTCAATCTCTGATCCTTGACATAGAAAAAAAGATTTACAAGAGTAATTAATAACGATGGAGGAAAAGATAAAAGAGAAAGATCGGTTTCGGATAGCACATATCATATGTTTTTTACAAAAAAAAATATATATATATATATTGTATTGTATTATCTTTTTTAAATCAAAAATAATAATTTGTAATGTGTAGATAATTATTGGTCGATTAGATCTGATCTCTCGTGACGAAACCACATGAAACAATTTAAGAAATAACCATTAATCAGAAATATAAATGGATCGCGTGTTTGATGAAATTGCATATTCTTTTAATATGCCAATATGTGCACTGATGTATGATTAGAATATTTTCTTATGAATTATTTTACTTGAAAAATTATACGTGTATCAATAATTTTTTCCTTTTCCATTAATTTATATCGCATTAATATTTTCTTTTATTCTTGTTTTACGAAGCATTTTAATTAAAAAATTATATATGTAAATAATTTTTTTTTCTTATTACATCACATTTCTAATTTACATCACATTTTTATTTTTTACAGTGATAGTGATAGAAGAACCGGATAAATCGATTTTAAACGTTTTGAACGAAGCCCTACCACAAGCAGAAAAGAATTATGGAAACGATATCATCTCTGTTCACATTTCTACAATCGAAGTTGAACGTTCGAATATAGACGCTAGCTTTAAGAAAGGTTAAGAAGTTAAAAATATTCTTTAAAAACAGCTATCCGAAGTTTTCTATCGATTTTTTTGTAAATCCCATTTTTTAATTTGTTGCTTATCCAAAGCGCGATCATTAGAATTTTTCTAAAATTTAATCCTTTAACATTTTAAAATTATATTAAAATTAATATTGAATAATTTTTAATTACAATATTAATTCTTGAGATCTCTTTGCAAATCTCTTATATATGAAGATTCCAACGACTAGGGTTTTCTCTTGAATTTAGCATCTAGAAATACCCAAAATATTTCAAACTACAAAATATTGAACAAATTCTTCAATATAATTAATTTCCAATTGTCTCATTAGCAATATTAACTGCACAATATTTTGCCATGATCGCGATCCGTTCTTATTCTTGTTTTGTTAAAATCAACTTGCAGTATGTGCTGCCTTATTTAAGGGAATCAGTATCGTACTCGACATGACCTGGACCGGGTGGGATAATCTTCGGATCATAGCCGACGAGAATGGAATAATATACAAACGGGGTGACAGCAATATGAACCCGTACATCCAAGCGATCGATGATCTTTTGATGTTGAAAAACGCCACTGATGTTGCTCTGATCTTCGAAGATGAAAGAGGTACTTTGGTAACGATCTTCGAACCAACTTTTCCCAAATTTTGTCTGAAAATGTCGAAAACTTCTTTTAACAGAGTTGAATCAGAGTCTCTACTATTTGATCGGAAATTCTATCTTAAGATTAATCGTGATCGACGAATTCACCGAGAAAACGGTGTCGAAGATCAAGAGTATGAGGCCATCACCATCTTATTACGCTATCTATGCTAGTACAGCAAAGATGGAGGATTTCTTCAAAACGGTAGAGAGAATTTTAAACATGTTTGAGAGAAAAGTAATGTAGTGTTACATGTAAAAATTTTGTTTCCAATATTATTTTTTTAACTTAAAAATTGTTTAGGCCGTGCAAGGAGGATTGGTCAAGAGAAATGGAATATGGAAATTGATTTTCACCGATAATAATTATAAGGATTTTAAATATATCAATGGAGACTTACAGTTGAACGTTTCCATCACGGTTCTGTGGATGAAGATGGATGTTTGTTGCAAATTAATTGGTGATTCGCTCTGCAATTGTCCTTCAGATGTCAAAGTACTTGAGACTTTTCTATTTTGCATAGTCTGTTTGATATGATAAATAGAATAATTTTGTTTAATCTTGCGATGGTTCTGTAGATATTTTCCAATTATTTTAAACGATTAGTAGGCCTCATCGTGAGTCTGATGAGCGAACTTCAGGCATCAGGTATTAGTGTGGAGCCAAAAAGTGGCAAATGCTTATCGAACACAGTGAATCAAACTTCAAACGTCACGATTGAGGCGTTTAACAAGAATATAGTTGCTGTAAGTCACGTTTAAATTGTCCAAAATAAAAATCATTGAAAATTGAAGGAAAAATTCTGCCACAGAAATTAGCAGGCAACGATACATTTGAGTATTGGTCAGAGAAAGGAATGATCACGTATAAAGCTGAAATAGAATTGGAAATTCTTGAGAATGGATTATTGGAACCATTAGCCACTTGGACGAGAAATGGAAAGATAAAAGAAGCAGAGAATAAAAAGATATTTCCTGCCAAAAGATTCTTTCGAATTGGAACTGCTCCTGTAATTAATAAACAAATTTCATTTAATTTCATTATGAATTTGTAATATTAATTAATACAAATATTAAAATTATATTAGTCAGTACCTTGGATAATACCTAAAATCGATCCAGCGACTGGAAAAGTTATGAAAAATGAGAATGGAAATGATATGTGGGATGGATATTGCATAGATTTTATCAAGAAATTATCGGAAGAGATGCAATTTGATTATGATCTTATCATACCTGAAGATCGACAATTTGGCAAGAAATTACCTAATGGACAATGGAATGGCTTGATTGGTGATCTAGCTAAAGGAGTAAGATTTGTATACTGAATTTCATGGCATCTGCATCCAATCATGCAAACCTTCTTGTTTCTATAAAACATTATTTTCATAAGTTTTCTATTTATATATTCTATTTATATATTTATTTATATATTTATATATTCTATTTATATATAATTAATATTCTTCTTTTTTATTTATCACATTTTACCTTTACTTTTTTTTTTTCATCTTATTAAAGAAATATAAAAATTTTCTTAATACCCTATATATTGAACTTGATGGCGCCTATGAGTCTGCAACCGTGCATACCTCTTAGTGTAAAACATCATCTTCTTCAATTTCAATTTTTCCTTTAAATTAATATTCTTCTTTTATGAATTTATTTCTGTTCTTTCTTTTATTTTTTTATCACGTTTTACTTCTTTTTTATAATTATTTTTTTTAGGAGACAGATATCATAGTTGCTGCATTGACAATGACTTCAGAACGTGAGGAAGTGATCGATTTCGTCGCCCCTTACTTCGAACAATCCGGCTTATTAATTGGTAAATAATATAACTATTATTTTTAATTTAAATGTTAACAAATTTTTACATTATACGATTTTTTCTTTTTTTTAATTTTTTGTTATAAGTAATGAGGAAACCTGTCCGCAAACCATCCCTTTTCAAATTTATGACAGTACTCAAAGTCGAAGTGTGGTTAAGCATCGTAGGAGCTTTAACATTAACTGGCATCATGATTTGGATACTTGACAAATATTCTCCTTACAGCGCCAGGAATAATAAACAATTGTATCCGTATCCTTGTCGGTAATAACTTTAAAATTTCTAAAAATTTCTTAATTATAAAAATTATTAATTATCGAAGTCTCATTAGTGGAAATTTAAATTAATTATTATTATTATTATAGTAATGTCGTCGCGTCAATATCTTTGGTCATTTGCTGGAATTAGATCAAGATTACTATAAATCACCCTTAATGACCACTACACATTTTATCGTTAATGATTGTCATAAAGACAAAGCAATTACTTAATCGATAATGATTGTCGTATAACCTAATTATATTCTGTGTTTAGAGAATTCACGTTGAAGGAGAGTTTCTGGTTCGCCTTGACGTCTTTTACACCCCAAGGTGGCGGCGAAGCACCCAAAGCGTTATCAAGCAGGATACTAGTTGCTGCTTATTGGTTATTCGTTGTTTTAATGTTGGCTACATTCACTGCTAATTTAGCTGCTTTCCTTACTGTGGAAAGAATGCAGGTTTTCAAAATTATTCTCATTAAAATACATCCAAAAGCCTTAAGAAATAATTATTTGAATAATCATTTATTTTATTGCGATAATTTTATAGAAAAATTTATCCAATTTTTATTTCTAGTAAAAAGTGTGACTTTTAATTGAGAATATACATACCTTTTGATCTTCAAAATGAGAGATAATATTGCAATATATTGTGTATTGTTTTAGTCTCCTGTGCAATCTTTGGAACAATTAGCCAGACAATCTAGAATCAATTATACTGTAGTGGTTAATTCTAGTCAGCATCAGTATTTTATAAATATGAAGAATGCAGAGGATAAATTGTACACGTAAGTTCACTGAAAAAGAAAGAACTTTAATAGCAGATTAAAAAAAGAGTAAAATTATTGACAAATTTTAAAATAAAAACATTAATATATAACCAAATAATAAAAGTAAAAAATATTCCTTTCCTTCCTAAATCCAATAATTCTTCTCAATTTCATATTTCAATTAGCGTATGGAAAGAAATTACATTAAACAATACAAGTGACGAGGTAGAGTATCGAGTCTGGGATTATCCTATCAAGGAACAATACGGCCACATATTGCAAGCGATCACACAAGTCGGTCCAGTTGCGAATTCAATGGAGGGTTTTCGAAAGGTACAAAACGACGACAATTGAATCAAGTATGGAATAAATCGATGTCTGAAACTATTGCTTTTTGCATCGTTTCAGGTGATAGAAAGCGAAAATGCAGAATTCGCTTTCATCCACGATTCGTCGGAGATACGGTATGAGGTAACGAAGAATTGCAATTTGACAGAGGTTGGAGAAGTGTTTGCGGAACAGCCTTATGCAATTGCTGTTCAGCAAGGAAGCCATTTGCAGGAAGAGATAAGCAGAAAGTTTGTTTTTATATTAAGATATTTAAAGGGATGATTGTATTGTATTTTACTTATATTTGATTCGTTGCAGGATTTTGGATTTGCAAAAAGATAGATACTTTGAAATGTTGGCTTCTAAATATTGGAACCAAACGCAGAAGGCGCAATGTCTGAATTCTGATGATAATGAAGGAATTACTTTGGAAAGTTTGGGTGAGTCGTTCACTAATCTCTGAATGAATCCTACAATTTCAAAATTGAAAGTTTATGGTTCACTTTAGAAAAAAAACGAAAAGGATAATAATATTCGAGATTGAATTAAATTTTAAACCAAATAAAAATGGAAAGAAACAAACTTTCAGGTGGAGTGTTTATCGCAACCCTCTTCGGGCTCGCCCTGGCGATGATCACCTTAGCAGGAGAGGTATTCTATTACCGAAAACGGAATACGGAAACGGAAAAATCGACGAAAGACAAAAGAAAAGTCAAGAACTTCAACAACAAGATAATACAAAATTTGTCGAAAATGAGTTTGCAAATGAAACCAGCGCCTATCAATCCTTTCTTCGAAAAGACAAACAATCCTCCTCGCGTGTCTCACATTTCCGTTTACCCTCGCAACCTCCCTTTCAAAGAATGAGAATCTTCAAAGAAAGAAAATTTAATTGAACAGAGGAATAAAAAAATGTTATCTCGTACAATTGAATCGAATCGTTATATATATGAGAAGAGGAATTTTAATTTAATGATAGTTTTAATAAAAACCAATGCAACGTAACGAAATTGAAAATAAAGTTTCTAGTTGTTCTATCTGTTTACAAGAGTCAGTAATGTTTTTCGCTATTTCATAATGTTGCGATTCTTCACGCTTCTTGCGAATTTCAGAAACATCGAATATTATCGAATCGATCGAATATTAGAGTATTTATAACATTTATAATAATTTGAAGAGTAAAACTCTCGATTTTTGGATTTGTCTTACGCAAGATATTTTCTTTTATATTATTCATTCCATTTTTATCATACTCTAATCTTCTAATAAAAATTGAAAAATATTGTTTACATCGCGATGAAATTTTTTTATCTCTAAATTTTCTTTCAGATATATCTAAAAGATTTCCCTCTTCCTGGAAAAAAATATATCGTACAAAGAAGTTTTTCTTCAATGAAAATTGGATCGGATTATAATATTCGTATTCGTAGATCTGATTGTTCGTCGCGCAACTTTTTCATCGATCGCGGTAACGGAATTGCATAAATGAAAGTGAACAGTTAGCGATCGGTCAGCTGTGTCCTTTCAATCTTAAATCTCGATTTTAATCCGGGAGAGCAAACATTTGAAATGAACTGAATAATCCAGCACAGGAATAATCAACAAAAGTGATAAACAGAATAAAGAATCTCTCTCCATCTAATTTTTTCATCCTTTTTTGCCTTTCATTAAAAGTACGAAATAAAATAATATTAAAATAATATTTCCACTTTCTTCCTTAATATTTATCTGCGTTCTACGATTGAACTTTTTTTTCTCCCTTAACGAGAGAGAAATGATCGACCAAACGGCCACGGACGAGCAAACAATATCCATCGTTCTTTTACGGTCGCTGATTCGAATATTTCTGATTGATTACTGTGATCACTGACTCCTGAGATACTCGCTTGCGTGTCGCGAAATTGAAAGGGTGGGGCAGCGATCTTTTTGAATCACCAAGTCGATATAAAGGCTTTGCTCGTGGAGGCGAGATCATTTCATGGGAAAGTGATGTGGCTCGACGAACCGGAACCGGAAACGGAATAAGTGTTCACTGATCGCCGATATCGCGCATCATGATCTCCTACAACCTTCGTTCTCTTCCCTTTGATGGATTTTTTTTGGTAACATTGCCTTCCATTGCGTTTCCATTGATATTAGAAGATTCTTCTGACCTAAAAATTTTTCATATTTCAGAAATTATTTTTGAAACAAATTATAAATTATTGATTATCATTAATATTTATATTGGATTCATTTCAAGAGAGTTCAAAATTTGTAAAACTTCATGATTCTCTTCTCATTTTAATAAATTTTGTTTTGTAATTAATATTTTAGATTAAAATTATTATTTAATTACCATTATTGGAGTTTAAAGTTCCAAATTATTTAATATTTTTCCTAGTAAAGTATAAATTTCTTTGACATAAATATGTTTAAGTTTGGCCATCTGTTGGACATCAGCAAACGCCAAAATCTACGACAATAGTTTCAAATCAGAAATTATTTTTGAAACAAGGAAATTATAAATTATTGATTATAATTAATATTTATATTGGATTCATTTCAAGAGAATTCAAAACTTCATGATTTTCTTTTAATAAATTTATTTTTGTAATTAATATTTTAGATTAAAATTGTTATTTAATTACCATCGTTGGAGTACCAATTTTAAAGTTCCAAATTATTTAATATTTTTCCTAGTTAAAGTATAAATTTCTCTGATATAGATATGCTTAAGTTTAGCCATCTGTTGGACATCAGCAAACGCCAAGATCTACAACAATAGCTTCAAATCAGAAATTATTTTTGAAACAAGGAAATTATAAATTATTGACTATAATTAATATTTATATTGGATTCATTTCAAGAGAGTTCAAAATTTGTAAAACTTCATGATTCTCTTCTCATTTTAATAAATTTTGTTTGGTAATTAATATTTTAGATTAAAATTATTATTTAATTACCATCATTGGAGTTTAAAGTTCCAAATTATTTAATATTTTTCCTAGTTAAAGTATGAATTTCTCTGACATAGATATGCTTAAGTTTGGCCATCTGTTGGACATCTGCAAACGCCAAGATCTACGACAATAGCTTCAAATCCTTAACCATCGACGATCATTCATGGATTCGTAGAAGCCGCGAAGCTCCTTATGACGTTGCCTCTTCAGAACATTCTCCATCTTACGCCAGCTTCTTAGAATCACGAAGGAACCATCGAGCAGCATTCGACTCCTCAGATTCCGTCAAACCCAAAGACTGGTTCTTGTTTTCGGCCAGCAAGAAGGTTCCAACTGAAAACAAAAATTTCAAAAAAGTAGTATCACCATTCTACACCATCACTGACAAAGATTCCCAAAAATACAAGGACATGGTGATGAAATCTGGCGTTCCATATTGCCAAGAGATCAAAACCAGGCGTGTCAATAAGGACAGCAATGCTAAAGACAGCACGATCTGCTACAAATGCAAAAATCCTAAAAATGGAGCCACCTACGAGCAATGCTCTTACGCTTCACAACCTTCCACTGATTCTAGCAACATTGAACAAAGTTCGGCACCTTCAGGGTTCAGAAACAGGAGATCCAACTCTGACGAGGCGTTCTCCGGTTTCAAAGATTACAGAAGAGATGACAATCCATACAGATTCAACGACAAGATATTTTCAGAGGCCACAGACGATGTTCCAGCAGAGTATAAGAACAAAAATGAAAAATGTGAAAAGGTAATCAAGGATTCCATGATGTGCATGGTATGCAAAGATATGAAGAGTAATGCTAAATACGAGCAATGCACCTATATTAGGCAACCGGCAGAGAAGAAATATTCCTACACCAAATCTGGCTCTCTTAAAAATCCTAAAGAAGCTGAGAAAGACGATAAAGAAAGTGGAAAAAGATCTAATAGAAAGTATTTTGAGACTAAACCAGTTAAGGAAGAATATTCCAGTTCTGAGGATAAAGAAGAAGCAGAAAAAGAATCTCGAGAGGAATACAAAGACTCGACCAGCAATTGCAAGAAGATTCAAAAAGATTCGAAGACTTGCACGGTCTGTAAAGATCCCAAAACAGGTGGAAATTATGAGAGATGCTCGTATGCCTATGAACCAAATGATAAAGTTTATAAATTTAGCAGAACCAAGAGTTTTGGATATCCTACAAGTTCTTCCAAAGATGATGATTCTAGTGAGTCCAATCAGGAGGAAGAGAAGAGATCTAAAAGCGAACTTGAGGAATACAAGAGAGATTATTCCATTCCTGAAAGCTACTATGACAAGAGTCACTCCTCTCCATTAACTTCTTACTTCAAGGATGACGAACCTAGATCCAGCTATCGTCAAGCTGCTTCCCAAAACTCTAAGTTAATCTCTGACGACGATGATTATTTATCTGGTTATGAGAAATCTAAGTCAGAATCTGAGAAAGTTGCCAAAAGTATCGAACCGAGCCATTGCAAAGAAGTTCAAAAAGATTCCATGACTTGCAAGATCTGCAAAGATCCTAAGACCGGAAGCAATTCTGAGCAATGTTCGTATAAATATCAACCAAGCGATAAAAGCTACTCTTATTCGAAATCTAGATCAATTGGCAGCCCAACAGAATCAAATGACAAATCTTACGATGAATCTGAGAAGAAAGAGACTCAAAAGTTGCCCTACGAAAAGGAAGGTTATGATTACTCTTCTGATAAAAGTTCCTACATTACCGATCAAGCCACCAAAAGAGAATTTCCAACTTCTGATGAATCCAAATCTGAAGTAATGGAAAGATCATCAAATTCTGCTCCAAAAAAAAGCGATGTAGGTTTCTACGATGCATTTAAGAAGAAAGAGGAGATCCAGAAGGTTCTTCAGGAATTTCAAAAGGAAGATCGTTCCAATTGTAAGAAATTAATGAGAGATAAAATGACTTGCTATCAATGTGTCGACGATAAAGGATTCAAAAAAGAGGAATGTGCTTTTGTGACTTCAGAAGAACCAGCTGAGGATAAAATTAATTATCGAGAAGCGAAAGATTATCATGAGGAACCGACCAAAAAGATTCCTAGGTCGGTTATTGAAAATCTGGATGATGTACCTATTGAACCAGAAGCTGCTGCCAGTGAGAAGGTCTATGTGCAACGAGAATTACCACCTAACAAGAGTTCTGGAAAGACTGAGGCATCCAAGGAGACTGAACCATATGAATACGTAGAGGAAACTAAACCTGTGTTCGATAAGATTCTTGGATTCACACTTCCAGCGTACATGCTGAGTACTTCTGAGCACGAAGAGGAGTTTGATAAGATTATGTCAGGCAGAAAAATTTGAAAATAATATTTTATTTTTATTTTTGTATATCTTTTTGGTAGATTTGACGATGGTTGATCGCTTGTAGATAAAATAGAATCTAATTAATTCTAATAATTAGTTAGAATTAGAGTTTTTATTTGGAATTTCAAAGTTGAAAGCTGAAGATAATTATTAGATATTGTAATTGATAAAGAAAATAATTATATATATATATGTTTTAAATTATAAATTTAAATTTAAATTTAGTTTATAAGAGATGTAATAATAATACTGAATTGTTGTATGGTTTGTAATTAAAAATTCGTTATAATTAAGATATGATGAAATTGATTTCTATCTATTTATGTGGAATTGCATTATAGTTATGCTCGATCGAACACGAAATTAGAAACTTGGTGTAACAAGTTTTTATGAGATATCTTTTTCCATATTTTCTATATGTATAGCAGAAAAAAGAATGGTGAATTTCTTGTCGATGTTTTGCGAGAAGAAAGTGAAGATACGAGAGTCTGTCGATGTTTTATTTCGTCGTGGATGGATGATTATGGATAAAGAAACATCGATGAAATGTAATAGTGAATCAGGAAGCATAGTTTTTTTTCATCATTGGTTTATTCGTTAGGTGAGAAATTTCCCGCCGTTTTAACTGTTTCTATTATTTCTTTCAAGTAAATGGTTGGATAGCTACCCATCTAGAAAATCAATATTTCTTTTCCTATAATTTTATTGTTCAACCTTAAAACCACATAAATAGAATAGCTAAAATCATAGAAAATATTTAATGGTTCGAGTATATATCTTTTAATTAAATTATTAAATAATTTTCAATATCGAAAATTTAAAGATTTTATTTAAAAGAAAAAAGAGTTAGATGAAATATTTAATTGAAAAAAAAAAAAAAGAAAAGAACTCAAATCATCCAAATTATTTCCACTCGAAACAATTCAACTGAAAGAAATCCTATTAAAAAATTTAATATTCCAATTTTTTTCAATTTCAACTTACAGTCAAACCACTATTAAATATTTAAAAATTATTTTTCAAACACAATTATTTTCTCTATCCTCCAAATGATTTTTTCCATCAATTCTATACAAATCTCTACTAAATCTCTTCTCCATACTTCAAACATACCTTCTACCAATTCTTTCTTAAAAAACTTTCTTTCTATTCCATTTCAATACAAAAATTGCAAAGTCTAACAACAATAAAATCCTTGGATCCTCTAATCAAAATCAAAAACCATCCCTTTTCAACATCAATCACTCTCTCCATCCTTCAAATAACCTCTTACGCCAAATCTCAATTCATCCGCTCGCGTCACGACCTCTGGCGTCTCGCGCGGGCAAAGAGGAACGGCGACGAAATCCGGATCGCGGTCCACGATCCATGGATTTCGAGGCGGCCGCAGTAGCGGCGGACGCGCGCTAGTGTCGGCATCGGTGCTGCTCGTCCCTTTCCATATCCGTCATCTACCACCTCCTCGTTACGTTTCACGGGCCCTCGCGGTGGAACAGGCCAGCCTAGAAGAGAAGAACCGGTTCCTGTCGGCTGGTGGAAAGCGGCACGAGGCGGCCGCGAGCTTTAACCCGGCGCACACCGGAATCTCTCCTATCGTCTGCGGTGGATACGCTACCCTGAGCATGAGCACCTCGACTTTCGTGGGGTAAGCGTGCATTTTCCATTTATTGTTATCTGGAAACGAGGAGAGATTGTTAGTTGAGTTGTTGAGGATGAAGTGAAAGAAAAGTTGATTTTAGATAAGGAAATTTGACTTTTGAAGTAAGGAGATTTTTGGCAATTTTATTGGTAGATTCTTGGTTGGGTTGTTGCTGAAAAAATTGAAAGACAGAATTCAATGGAATTGATAAAATATTATTCAAATTGTATTCATATTATATTTAATTATTTAGTTTACTTACTTTCTGAAGGATTTTATATGCAACATAATGAACAATAATTTTTAATCCATTGTCCAAGAATCTTTGATTATTTGTTGTCAGGAAGATTTGAAGCTTTTTGATCAGAATGATCTGTAACAATAATAATCTTTCAGCTAAGATTCTCTTACAAAGTTACTGCAATTCAATATTGCACAGTGAATTAAGAAAATTTAGTTTTAGAAATAGATAATCTCAAAGTGACGAACAAGAAATATTATGTATACGTTAATTGAAACAAGTGATTCTAATGTCTAAATACATATTCTATTTGCCATTGAAGTCACAGAAAAAGTTAACTTAGTCAACAATACTATTCACATAATTAGAAATACTAGTTGCAAAATTTAACATTTTAAGTTAAAAACAAGTCACAAATTACAATAAATTTTCTAGTATAGTATTAAAAAAATAAATGTAGTTTCACTATAAATTTTTATAAATAAAATCTAACATCTTATTAAAAAATTACAATTAAAATTAATAAAAGAATAAATTCTCTTTTATAAATAAATTTTATCAATCATAAATTATTTGATTATTATTATAATTCATATTATACTTTAGATTTTTATATATATATTCAATTTTTGTATAAATATCCACCAACTTCACTCAACTAATTATTCCACTCGACATAAAAATATGAAATGCTTGTAACTTGTCATTTCATATAAGTTACAAAATTATTTTGCAAGAGGGTCCAGAAATGGAAAGATAGTCGAAACTGGTTTCTAGTTCGGCTCGACAGGACTCGACCAGTGAGGAGGTCCTGTTTGCTCCTTTTGCTACTTTCTGATTCAACTTCTTCTTCTCCTTTTTCTTCTTGTTTTTAAGATTGTTTAAGGGTTATCCTTGGGATACTGAATATACTGAAGAGCTTTGTTCCTATTTGTGTTAAATCGTATTTAATGAAAATGATTTAAAAATTTTCAAACAACAACCATCTTGCAAGTATTATTCTTTAATGTTTGTGAAGATTCTTTGATTAAAGAATGGCTGAGATTTCCGTGATCTGCGCAGTTGATTTTCCTTGGTTTCAAGTTGTACAGAAATAGCAGCAGCAATTTTGGAGCGCGTTAGGGGATTGGGAAAGGTCGGGATCCCGGTTCCATAGGGTCCATATAATATGGTGCGATTAAGAAATTCACGTAACCGGTTACGAGACTTTGTATTTTGCATTTCCAATTATATATTCGCACTTCAAATTATATATTTGTTATTTACGTTGCGTTAGAATGTACTTAATATATTGAAAAATGAATTTGTTTAAGCTGGAAAAGTGTAATCATTATTTTTAATTTTTATAAAGATATGAAAAGATAAAAGATAAATAGATACTTAAATATACCTTGATCTTAAAGAGAAATGAGACACTTTTATCAAAATATTGAACTTTTGGTAAAATTTTAATTTCTTCCTTCTTCTGGTATATATGGTAAATTTTTAAATATTGTATAAATTTTTTTCAAAGTTGTTAATAAGATATCAATATCTTATTTATAAGGATTGAATTCTTTGATCATCTTTCATAGAATTTTCTGAAACTTCTTAGCTTCACATTCACGCGTTTATTTAAAGCCACATAAAATTGCATAAATAGAGAATCAGTAAACAAAGTTGACTGCCAAGTGTGATTATTAGAAATAATAAATCTGGACCAAGTTTCGTCCATTTCATCGAAAATTTCTAAATAAATGTTATTAATCATACTTTTTTATTTTCTAATATATTACGATAAAATCGAGAATGATAGAGAAAAAAACCTCATTACTTGATGATGGCAATCCCAAGACTTTGCGATGATTCCAAGAAATAGCTTCTCGACCTATATTTCTTCTTTGAACAGGAAAACACCGAAGAGCATTCATCGAAAGATTCTTCGTTCGATGAATTGTAATGGTATATCGATTTTGATTAATCGCTTCCTTCCTATCGATTACTCTCGATCGATTCAATATTACTAACTAAATTACTAAATATCAGTACTTGTACATAATTGTTCTTTATATTTCTCTATATATTATTTATAAAGATCATCAACGTTGAATAAATAAATAAAATTTTGTATATATATAAATAACAAGTTAAAATTTTAGAAATTTTATCAGATTATATAAGGAAGAGAGAAATTTTGATCTATTTATAATACATAAATGAAACTGATCGTGTATCCATTTTGTGCACAACAATTTCCAACTTGGCAACCAACACTTAACCAATTCAATATGTTATAAATAATCGAGAAATTACGCGAAACCATCTTAGATTTGAAATCTTATCTCTAACTAAGAATTAACAACTTAATAAATCATATAGATTTTATACAAATAAGATAAGAATAAAGTAAGAAAATATTTTAGAAAGTAACTAACGTACCTAAAATCGATGCATCGAAGGGAAGTTCGTATGTTTATAGTTGCCACCCACGATGAGATTCTATATCTATGCGGATGAGTAATCTCACTGAACAGCTCGATGAAATAATCGATGCATCGAGATCGTTCGATTACCTCTTGTTCTTCATTTGCATTCCTTTTTCAAATTAAAATTAAAATCATTTTTTATTATTCTTTATTTTTATTTAGTGTAGGTTTACATTCATTCCTCTCATTAATATAAAGATCTCTTGTTTTTCATTTACATTTTCTCTTTTTCAAAATTAAAATTTCCACAAGATTATTTAATTTTTACTATTTTTAATTTACTATATAATTTATTATAAATTTCCATTTTCTTATTATTTAATATAGTCTTTTTTTTATTTATATAATTTTCATTAATATACGTTTACATTTTAATTTCTTCAAAATTAATGTTTTCATTTTTAATTTTCTAGAATAACTAGAATAGATGATTTACGTCAATTTCTCTTCTATTATTTTTCATTTTCATTAATACAAATTCATTAATACAAATTTACGTCACAGACGGGGTAATATATAGAAAGTAGCTTAAGGTGACGACAATTTTTGTATAAAAATATAAAATTTCTGGTTGGCCACGTTCCTTTATACTCGCACGCCTACGCTCTTGGACGTCTCGTTGATTGGAACCGCTCGTTGATTCTTGTTGCTAATGCGAAAAAAATATTGCATTGGACGTTAGACATTTTCGTTCACGCCAAAAATTTCATTCGTTCATTAGAATGAATCATTTCTATGTTACGTTAGATACAAAACCAATTGAATAATAAGAAAAATTCTATTCTAAATTATTAATTCAAAATCCCTAAATCTAATTCATTATTCAACATTCTTTAAAAAATTCTTCTTCAAGATTAAATTCACTTAATAACGAATCTCATAACTACATCCTTTTCAAATTCAAAATTTCAACATTTTAGATTCTATCCTAATATCTTCAATAAAAATTTAACATACATCAACATCATCATAAATATTCTGTCAATCAACTTTCCAAATTCTCCATAAATTCTTCTTCAAGGCCAAATTCACTCAACAGGGTCGATGGATCAAATCTTACAACTATATTCTCCTCAAAGGCGATGACACGTTCGATGGCCTCCACAGAGTGGATGGTCGAACGTTGGATGGAAATATAACGTTGGGTTTCTAGGTCCACGCCTACGAATCATCCAATTTTGAACGTCTCGGAACCTTGCTCGAGCTCATCATCCGATTCCATTCTCGTCTGATCGGATACGTGACTAGGCGCGGCGCATTCTCTCCGCAACATATACATATGTATATCCACGTAACGTCTCGTCATCAGGGAAATTTGCAGGTGTGAACGACCCTTCGATCGAGAGGGTACGGGAAAATTGTTCATTGCCACGTGTCGTTGCGGGCTGGCCGCGTGATGTATTTTTAAACGGTTCGTTGTATCGTTTAACCATTGCGTTTTCGATGTCGTACACTCTCTAGCCGAGGTGAATATATTTGAGAGTTGATCTCTCGAGAATTGCTCTTCAATTTTATGAGGAATGGACACTGCAATTGGAAGTGAAAATTAATTTCAATATCCTGAGAATTTTATTCTAAAAATGTATTGATAAGAGAATATTATTGATAATAGTTTTAAAAGGTCACTGGATAACTCTCGAGAGTTATTTTGGAAAATATTTTTTGCAAAGAAACACTGGATTAATGGACACTGAATAACTCTTAAAAATGTTTTTTCCAAATGGACTGTGTAATTTTTAAATGTATTTGTATAAGATTTGTTGACAAAAGTATTTTTTGGAATGAAGAATCATGTTAATAATGATTGTTCAAAATAATTTTGTTCCTCCAACAGTGTCCATTAATGAAAAATAACTTTCGAGTGCATATTTCAAGAATTTTATATTCTGAAATGGAACCTCTAAAATTTTAGATCAGAATTTGAACGTCTGTAGGATTTTGTTTAACCGGCTCATTGACCAATGTCGATGAAGTCAGCTGTTCTTTGAACTGTGTAGATCCCATTTTTACGGGATCATCGCTTTCTCCTTCCAGGATAATCCTCTTGAGTCTCTTTTTCTCTGTCTGTCAAAGGTAGATCCTATTTAGATTACGTTTCCTCCAGTGAAAGTACAACTATCTTTGTTCAACAAGTTATTCCAACTTCTTTCTTCGTCTCTTTCTTAATCTTCCTTGTGATCGTATTCTTATTAATATAAAGCCAATTGTCACATATAAAATTTCTTAGAAAATGAATCTTATAGATATGTATCTTATTTTGAAAATTATGCTCAACTTTATTTTATCTTTAATTCATTATAATTCATATTATTATACTCTCACGTTTGTTATTAAGTTTGCTTAAAGAAATATGAAAGAACTCATTATTCAGCTTTTTAATATTCCATAATCTTCTTCTTAAATTTTATTAACCTATGAATATAAAATGCATCAAAGATCAATATCCATATAAAGTATCCCTAAAAGATTGAATATCCAATCTAACCGAATAATTCCAAGGAATCAATTGTATATCTTCTTCTTTATAAAGCAACGAAAAAAAAAAATATATTTGCGCAAATTAGTTCGCGGATGGCTTAATATCGAACACACCGTCAGGTGTCTCTGGTTTTCCACAGTGGAGCCGCGTCGCGTCGTAACCCTAAAAATAAAATAATCGGAAGCATTTTGTGCGGCGCGGTAACGCGCAGGTCGGTTCGCGCTAAATTTAACACCACCTCGCGTATCTACCTAAATACACTTGTACAAGCCACGGCCTGTTGTTGGCTGGGTTCCGAGGATCGCGACAAGCGCGCCTCCACTCGCCCTCACCCGAGCTTTCCTCGGAGAGTTACCTCTTTCGCAGGATCCAACTCGATTTATATCCTTGAGAATCAGGATAATATTATTTTTTCGTGTAGTATCACTTTGCATTGTGTTTTAAAGTTTGTAATGTAGATTTTCACGATCAATGAAATTACATACAGGATATTAATGTATAATGTGGAACCACCTTTGGAGGATTGATTCTAAATATCAAAAGAAACAGAAAAGTTGATGTATAAAAATGAATGGAATGAAATGGTTGAAGCTTATTTTTAAATTATAAACAATTTACTGTATTTTTATACTTTGTGTTTATACATTGTCTTTTTAATCTCTGTAGCCAACGTCTTTGTGCAAATGGTTTTATAGTTCAGATGATTCGCACAATGCATAAGTTGTCATTGAAATGAATTATATATTTTGTTTGTTCGTTTTGTAAGCTGAAATATAATATGATTAATTTAAGTATCTACTGAAAACTCTAGGAAAATTTCTTTAAAATTAGGAATTTTTCTAAAATTTATTGTTCTAAGTGTATCCAAAATATTTAATTTGACTTAATAACTTTATAGAAAAGAATTTATTGTAAAATATTTAATCATTTTGGATTCCTGAGAATTTGAAAATAGAGATATCTACTAGCAAAGGATCCTCAAATAGTTTTTCTTACCGTTCTAAAAATTTCCAAAATATTTAAATTTGCAAAATTTAAATAATATTTGAATAATTTGAAATCATTTTTGCAAAATGCATATTTACTTTCTTAGTCTTATCACATTCATTAATTCCTGTAAGTTATTTGTAAGTTGTAAAAACTGGAACCATATATTCGTCGAATCATTTGAACCTTCATTGTTTATCATTTTTCTTGGTTGGTTCATCGCTGGAATTTCGTTTATCATCCAAACTTCTCATCGTGGAAACGATCGACGCGTTTTCCGAGAAAGTCGACCAGCTGAATTACGATCTCAGTCGTGATAACAATGACGTCACTCGTCTGATTCAATGTTAAAATTAGTCGAGAATCGAACCGGGTTCACGGTTGGTGGTATGATGGCAATTTTCGTGAAAATAATTTCATGAAAGTGAAATCTCGACCGTGAAAATTTACAAATTTTTACAAACGAAGCTTAACATGGTTCCATTTGATAAATTGTATGAATTGCAACATTTTCTATCTACTAATGAATGAGGAAATGAATTTTAACACTGTCAATCATTGTCCAAGATTCTATATACAGAAAAATATTACAAATGTTAATTTTGCTGATACAAAAAAAATATTCAATAATTATCAAAGTATTCTCTTATACTATTATAAGAAATTTTGAAAAATAATTGAATGAACTATTGAGATTATAATATTGAGATATGAGAATAGTTGGATTAATATTATTTTGTTTATTTATATTATATTAGTTAATCTCTATTTTATGAATATATATAAAGTGAGAGATCAAAATATTCAAAAACGAGATGGCACGTGGCACCAATAGTTATGCCAAGATAAAAGCGACCTCGTGTCGATTCTATTCTCCAAAATTCTATTATTAAAAGAGATTTTCGCACGAGACCACGAGTTTGTTGTGAGTTCAACATCGTTTTACGAAAGATATTTCTATATTTTCAGATCAGAGCATTCTTGGATATCTTGAGTTCTATATGACAGAACTTACTTATTTGTTTTTTTAAGACAGAAAGAGAACAATGATTTTTAAAAATTTTAAAATTATGAAATAATACTGTAATTATTATTAATTAATTACAGTGTGATATTTAAAACATAAGGAACATAAAAAATAATTAATAGTTCTCTTATCATTCAAATTTTCAAAATTTTTAACTTTGAAATTGAAAATAAATTAATTCATTCATTTCAATAATTGTGTTACGCATAATTTTTAAATTTAAAAAAATATATTTATCCAACTCTCTCTCTCAATATTCGTGAAAAAATTAAATTAATTTTCAATACTTACCAATATTTAATTCCTTTAAAAATAAAATCTTCTGTTTCATAATTTTTAAAAAAAAAAAATTATCTCTTCTTATCTTTTCTTTGATCATCAATTAACAAACTTTCAAATTACAAATCCTTTTTCTGATTGATTATCAATTAACAAATTCTTGGAAAGAAAGTTTTAAAAAGTTCAGTAACCCTGTCGAAAACGTGACGAGCAAACACATACTTGAATAACACCAACAATTCGAACTGCAAAAATAGAAAACCATCAATATTGAATATAGTAGTTGACCGCTCCTTGAAACCACGCTGCAAAAATATCACCGCTTTAAATAGCGAATCATCATAAGCTACACGCAGTTTCGTCAGTGAAATATAATTGCCGCCCACTTTTCGTGTCATGAACACGCTTCACGATGAATATCGAGTACCTGCTGATAGCTTCATCGATTATCATTCAATATCCACTTATATTGATTCTTGAATCGAACCATTTTCTAATAAAATAAATATTACATAGATCAGATATTTCTTATTATTTCTCTGGCAAATTATCAAATATATGAGCTTTGAGTATCTTCGAGGAATAAATTAAAAATTATAAAATTTATCAATCTTTCATTGAAATTTATTTAACTATTATCTATGAATTTCTCTTTTTTCACACAGATAAGAGAAAGTGGAATATTATATTATTCAAAACTATATAAATTTTATCATTTATAATTAATTTTTTTATTAATTTTTTATTAATTTTTTATTAATTTTGAAAATTTAAAATCTTTTGAATAATATATTTTCAATTCATTAGAAGATGTAAAAAAAAATGTTATAAATTCAAAGGGTTGAAAAGACACACAGTATATGTTCTCTAGACTTGGTAAAATAATTAAACGATTCAACCTTCGTACGAGGAGAAACTTCCATAAAAGGGATTAAGCAATGAAACATGGTCGAGTCATCGAAAGATAACTGGCGGTCACGTAAGTGTATGTGGGTTACCGCTCGTTCCTTGATAATACCAAAAGCAGTTCAGCTGGCTGATTGCGAAAACGGTAGCTGCTACCGTGTCGCAAAGTAAATAAATTGAACAGTGAAAATAGAAAGTTCGATTCAAATACCAGTTTTTAGAATCATTTTAAAACTTACTTGATATTTAAATCATAGTTATATTTTTTAGCAAAATACTTTTCAATGTAATTTATTCTTGTGCATAATAAATATGTGACAGAAAAACATTGAATTTACAAGCAAGCATATTCACCTGTAAGAATTATACCATTTTAATTTAATTAATCTATATTTAAAATAGATTATTGTTTTATTACTTATATTGACAACCAAAAGTATAAAAAGTTTTAATATTGATATAAGGATTAAATAGTGAATGCAATATAATAAATTATGATAATAAAGAATATGATATATTAACACTATGATAACACTTGTAACATGATTATTAATTATTAGTTAAATATTCAATATTATTTTTTCAATTATTATTCAATTTTATTTTTTATTATTTCTACTTTTTATTTTTCAAATTATTATATTTTTCTAGAGACATAAAAAATTTTATTATTTGTTAATTTATCTAAATTATACTCGAAACTAGCTTGTCTTCATAGTGTTAAAGGAAAAATTATTGAGCTTAATTTTCAAAATGAAATATAAAAAGATATATATATATTTGAAAATTTCATAAAAATTACTTTCATTAACATATTATTAATTACGAAATGAGCTATTTTGACAACAGATGCAATATCACATATGTGCATCGAAATGCCAATATCATGTTATGTGACTCAATACTTGAATACTGCATTCCATAGATAACGCAGGAATGCATCCAGTTACCATTACATAAGAAAATCTTCATCGTTATCTCTTTAAGCATTACTACTACAATCATTTGATTAATTATCTTTCAAATTATGGTGTTATTTGGATGATGCAATGTAATGAAAATAACTCTTACATATTGTAGATTGGATCTCGTCCATTATTATCATCCAAATTAGTATCTATTTCTTTTTTTATTTATTATCTCAGTGCACTGACTGTGATTTAAATAATCACTATAATTGCTCGACATTGATATTGCGAAGATATTAATAATAATTCGTAAAAAATTAATCCTTTACAATTATATAAATTATTATCTTATATACTATATATATACTATACTATACTATCTCTAAAAGAATTAAAAAAAGAATTTAGAAAATTAAATTTTTATTTAAATCATTGCAATTAATGATCTGCAATAACTGTTGTATCCTGTTAAGTGAAATGTTTTTTTTTTTCAGGAATTCGGACAGCAGTAACGTCCTATCGACAGGTATGTACATAAATACCAAAGTAAAATAATTATTCACGAACCTCATTTCTCTCGAAACGCTGAAACGAAGATATGCGATGTATGCAAATAACTGCTGCCTCGTGATAATCAAGGAACGAAAAGCTAAAGATATGCAATTAGATGCGTCGCTTCAAAGTTTACAAATATTTCTGAACATTCATCAATAATGTATATTTATGTTGTTTAAAATATCTTCTACCTAAAAACAAAGAAAATAAAAAATAAATTTAAAAAAACAAATAGATGATTTTTTTTTAAATTTGAAAGATTTTCATGTTTTTTTTATTTCGAAATTAATAAAAAAAATAATACTCAGTAATTTCCCATGTATTATCATTTATACAAAACATCTATCTTCATAAATTTTAAATTCCATCATGTATATTTAAGATCCACTTTCACAAATGCGAAGTTCAACAAAAGTCTGGAAAACCAAATTTACCGTTCGCTATTAACTGTCATTCTACGATTTTATGATTCACACAGTGAATACCATAAAAAAATTGCATACCAAACTTATCTGCAACTTGTGCAAAAAACTTTCGCTCGTTTATATTCTCAAATATAATCGTGGTATTAAAAATTTGAATAAATATCAATATGAAATTTGCTATCCGTATCATAGTTTCAATGTGGACATTATCTATCTAAATATTATTAAAAGTTACAAATTGTATAGAATCTATTAATCTCAGAATACTTTAATATCAAATATTAAAATCAATTCTATCAAATTTGAAATTCTACAATACAAACAATACAAATAATCACACTATATTAATTAATATATAATTTATAATTAATATAACATTTAATAATATTTAATTATATTTAATAATAATATAATAATTAATATATAATATATAGAATAATTATATTCTCTTCTTTCTCCTTCTGTTCTTTATCATTTTTTTCTTTTGTTTTTTTTTGTCAAACTTTTCTTTTTCCTTCTCTTTTGCTTCTATATTCTGTTTTCTCCCCATTTTTTGTCACGATTTTTCTTCTTCTTTAAATATTTCCTTTGTCAAACTCTTTCTCTCTCTTCTGTCCTTCTTTATTATTCTTGCTTTCTTCCTTTCAATTTCTTTTCTCTCTCTCTCTTTCTACGCTTGCATTTCTTTGCTACTATTCTCTTTTTCTCTCCTTTGTTTCCTTCTTTTCCTATTCTTTTGTGTCATTCTCTTTCTTCTCCACTTTCAAATTTTTCTTCGCTTTTTTATCAGTTCTTCTTCACATGTTCCTTTATCAATTCCTCCTCACATGATCATTTATTAATTCTTCCTCCTTGTTTCCTTTATCAATTTCTTCTTCTTTTTCCTTCAATTTCGCCTCTTCCACTCTTTCAATTTTTCTCTTTCCCTTATTCTGTTATCTTCTTTCGTCACTCTCATTTTCCTCCTCCTCTCCTTTATCATTTTCTTTCTTTCATCTTTTTATCCTCCTTTATCATCTTCTTACAAATTTTGCAAATTATAATCTATCATATTTCAATATATTTTAATATATAATTATAAAATTTTTTATTGAAGAAAATTTTTCTATGCAAAAAAATTTATTTAAATGTTTAATTAATTGTTGATTGTATATCATAATATACCTGTTATAAAACTTATTATTTAATATTCATTATATGTAAAATTAGTTTGACGTTTCGAATTAAAAAATCAATGATCAATATGATACACAGATGAGAAATAAATTTAAACCTTGAAATTAATTTAAATTTTCGATTTGATATGCGAGAGAGTGTTAGCTTGATAAATATTACTAAATATCTTGGCGAGAGTTCAGAATTTCCGGTGAGCCACACGGAAACGTGTGAACGATGTGCGCAACATACCGCATACCTGACCTCTCGTTAGCATTCCATTAAATCGGTAATCGTTGCAGGACTTTATCCTCCGCCTCCTCCACCGCCACCACCGCCTCCGGTACCTAACCAGGTGCCGGCCATGAGAATCAACACGGCAGAGGTAAGCGGAAGATCGGCAATTCGAGTTCAGTACACGTTCGTCGTTCATTGCGAGCGTATCTCGTGGATTTTGTCGAGATGATCTGAAAATTTTAAAGAATTAGAAAAGAAAGTAATTAAATATTTCCTGTGTTTATCCTATAATTTTTTTTTCTTTTTCTTAAATATTAGAATTTTTTCAATAATAGAAAATGGTGAGTGTTAAAATGAAATGTAATTATAGTTATGAAAATTTTATTTCAGAAAAAGAATTTAGAAATTAATGAATCGTAATATTTTATTAAATTAAATCATTCTCTTTTTAATTAAATAATAAAAAATGGTTAGAATGAAACATTACTTTCCTGGGAATATATTTGTAAAAAATGAACGAATAGGAACGAGATTACGAGGAATTCATGGAGAAAATATATAAAGATCCGTCACGAGGAATTAAAGTCTGTAAATTAAGACGCCACTCAAGGTCTCTGTATTTTCTTTGTTCCATATTTATTTTGGTCCAATGTTTATTTTTAACTTCGGGTTTTTTGTCCAGATATAAATTTAAATATAATCTGAAATCATTAAAAGAATGAATCAAACAAAGAAACAATATCAAATATGCTTTTACAATTTTTACAAAAAATACATACCTCGATATTACTTATCTTATTCTCAAAAATGCAAAAAATTTACAATTTATCGAAAAATAAAAGATTTATATCTCATTGCTCATTAATTAACAACTAAAAATAGAAAAATATATCGATCCAAATATTAAATCTCAGGCGCCAACAACGAGAAAACCGTTGATACCAAGCAACGATGCATACGAGCCACCAGCAGCAATTCAAAACGCGATGCTGACTAAAGACAAGAAGCCCTTCACGTACACGCCTGGAATGGGCGGGAAACTGGACCTTTCCCAAATTCGAAGCCCTCGAATGGCGCGCAGGGTAGCAAAAAACGCCAATGATGAGGGAATCGAAGGTCCTCCGAAGTCAGCACTTGAATCGAAGCCGACACCAGCGCCCAATACAACGAATTTATTCATTCAACCTCAAGTAGCGATACCTGTCTTCCCGACCAATATTCCGGCTCAACCCTCGGTCAACAGGACACCTTCCACACCACCTGCTAACAGGATTCAACCTAGTAGTAAGTATTAGTTCATTCATTTTTTTTTCATTCAATTTTATTGAGATCTTTATTTAATTATTTTTTGAATTTTTAAATCTTTTCCTATCACAGAGAATAATATGAACATATAATGGATATACCAATAATTGTTTATGGTTTCAGCTCCAGAAAAGCAACCAGAGTCGCCGAAAGCCAAAGTAGAGACCAAAGTAATCCCCACAATCGCAGTTCAGCCGAATACTCCTGAGAGTCCAAGCACTCCAACCCAAGTGACTTTGACAAAGGCACCAACACCGTGGCTCCAGAACAAGAATAAACCACAAGAAGAATTACCTGAATGGGCAAAACGATCTAGCGTGAATAAACAAAGCTCAGTTGAGAGTCCAACATCACCTCCAGTTTCCTCATCTTTGATTCAACAACCTCAATCACCTCAATGGCAACAAACTCAGCAGAGGCAGCAACCAGTTCAACAAAGGCCTCAATCTCTGCCACAAATTCAACAAAGACCGGTCCAGATTCAGCAACAATCTCAACAATACCAGTACCAACAACCTCAGGGTCAACAATTCAATCAGCAACAGAAACGTCCTTTCTCTGGTCCTCCTGTAACACAACAGACTAATCCTCAGACTCAGCATCAAGAACGTGTGATACCTATTCGAGTGAGTGTTTATTATTATCTAAAATATAGTAAAATTTCTAAACATTCATTATATTTTATTGGAAATAAATATTAATTTTTTCAAAATATAAAATAATTTATGCAAAAAAAAAATCTGTTCCATTATCCAAAAATTCCTTTATAACAGTCTTGTCTTTTGTTTGAGTAATGGAAGTTCTACTGTTATTATTAAAGAAATAGCTAACTTAACTGCTAATGGTTTATTTCTAGATTGAAGATAGGCCGTCTGTTTTCGACGTGAAACCGGAACCTGGCCATCATCAGTTCAAGCAACCGAGTCCGCACCAACAGAGATGGGGTCAGCCAACTGTTCAGAATCAGAGTCAAGTACGGAATCAGATGCAGAATCAGATGCAGAATCAGATGCAGAATCAAGTGCAGAATCAAGTGCAGAATCAGATGCAGTCTCAATCGACAGGTGGCGCGTACATTATACCTATCATGATTGAAGGAAATGATAAGAAGACTGGTGCAGCAATTACTTCGAATTCTTACTCGCAACCGATTGTCAGGAATAATATGCCTAATGCTGAGAATCAGAATACGAGAGTGTAAGTTGAACAATTTTTTGTTGAGTCGTTAATTATTATAAGTTTTGCAAATATATTTATATTTTTACACACACAATTAATTTCTATCAAATTCAGCTTCAATCATTAATTTTGTCTGCATTTAATGCAATATAATTCAAAATTTAATTTAATCTTTTATTGAATCCAAATTTTAGAGCGACCCAACGTATTATACCTGTACAAGCCCAACAGTCGGATTCCGTTCCGGTTCAGTCTCGATCCTTTAGAGTTCTTCAGAAGATCACAGATACGGACACGGCAAACGATGTGGACACTGAACAGATGCGAAAACTTCAATTATCGGAGGATGATAGGATTTTGATGAATAAATTCAAGGAACAAAGTACGATATAACATTATATTAAATTTATAATAAAATCGATTATAATAAATAAAATTATAAATTTTTGATTGTTTAATCAATTTGATTTTTGTTACCTTTTTTTAAACAGTCGACAACGAATCTTCTCTCCATCACGAGGAAGATCCGAGATATCGTGGTGGGGCCATACCCTCTCGAGCCTTCCGCTTCTTGCAGACTATGACGGAATCTGGCGATGCTCCTGTTGTGAACACGAGTAAGTTTTATTCAAAGATGTAATAGAGAGAAATATTTTATCATATTCAAAAGAGATAAATCAGTGAAACCTTGCATTACAGCGCAACGACCACCGTCAGCTATTAATAAGAAGCAGAACAGGAATTCGAAGACTTTTGGTGAGTAAATCAATCTCTCAATTAACTTTTGATTAACATTTTCACGATGTATCTAAATCTTCTTTCATGTAATTCACAATTAAACGATCTTTTAATATAATATTTTATAGTGATTTTATTGAGAAAATATTTATTTTTTTCAATATAATTTTGAACTTTTAAGTGCAATTCTATAATTTTACAGTTTGTCAGTTTATTTAATTTCTTAAAATGTAATATTATAGAAGAAATGCAAGCAAATCTACCACCAAGTGAACAGCAAGTTCCAGAGCCAAAGAAATACATGGGCAGTGCAATTCCCTCCAGATCTTTCAGGATATTACAAGCGATGACAGCGCCGGAAAGTGTCGGTGAGTATCGATCTATGAAATTAAAAGACATCATAAAATTTAATAAATTCTTAATCTCTTTTTTTCCAAATTCAAAAAAAAAAAAAAAATAAATAAATAAATAAAAGAAAAAAGAAAAACGCGGTTCAACAACATGTTCATAATTCACGCAAGAACACGCTACTCGTTCATGATGAATTAATCGCAACAAGCTTCTATTGACCCTTGTATACATTAATTTTCAGTGACAAGCGTCTTTATAATTTCTAATTTAATGATTAAAAACTTGAAGTAACGATTGCGTGCCGTCGCTAGAACGTCCCCGAATCCTGTGTTCACAGGAATAACGAAAATTCCTTGGTATATCGTTCAGCTCGATTGAAACACTTTTCACTCTTCTATTTTAAAAATTATTTTGTTAAAGAGAAATATATGGTGTGTTGTAAATTACAATCATAATTTCTGTATATTTAATTAGTGACACAAATTAATCATCGAGCAACGATGAAATATTACGAAATTTGAAACAAAAATTATAAAAATTGTGATTACTGTTGACATAGTTTTTAAAGATGAATTATTCAAAAACATGGTAGGTGAAATTATCCATCTATTTTCGTCGAATAGTATTATAATGATATATTAGTAATCAGATATTCCTTGTGTTAGATAACCAAGAAAATTCTATTATTCCTTTTAGGATAAAAAAATATATTACAAAATAAATAATTATATTGATTTATAATTGAATAACTATTAAAACTTAAAATTTGAATTTCTTTGAATTATTTGAGTTATTCTTTGAGTTATATATTTAATGCGTTCAATCACAATGAATTCAAAAAATATATTCAAAAAATTTATCATAAGATCCATAAAAGAAAATTTCTTGTTTTCATTCTTCTTTTTGTTAAACCTGACAAATTATTAATTATTTCCAAAAATAGAAAGTATTAAAGAAAAGTTTTTCATTTTCAGAAATTATAACTTTTATAAAATCGATATTTATAAATTTTTTCCAGTTATCAAAATCAAAATATCAGAAAAAAATATTTTAACAAATAAAATATTAATTTTCTATATTTCTTGGTTATCTGATGACATCGTCCGATTATCGTCATAAATAAAATCGATTTTTCAAAAATAGTTTCTATTATACGATAATAAAAATTAATGTACAAAAAGTATGGCAAGCTACGATGGACTTGGGTAACTTAACCGGGAATGTTGCATGTACTATTAATCGATTTCACATGTGTTTAATTCTCGCTGGGATTTTAATATTATTACAAGTGATCACTTGCATGTAAATGGATATATTTACGAATATTCTGGACTCTAATCATCTTGTCCAGAATATCCTAAGAAGCATGTCTTCCTATTCGAGCGTAAATGATCGCTCGTTCAATGGTCGAAAATCATCGACTGGTTTTGCGTTCACGACAAAATTTTCGATCGTTTCCTTTGAACACAGGATCTCACACGATTTTTTTTTCTTTCTCTCTTTCTCTCTTTCGTTTCGTGATTATAATTCGTCGCTTAATCCTTTGCCCAATCTCGCTTGTCCATCGATTTTTCAGAGCCAATTAGAAGATCATACGTGTTAGACATTTATTTTGAAAATATTATAATGAAAATATTATAATAGGTTTTAAAAAATGTATAGAATTTTTTTTAATTTTGAAGATTCAATTACTAATTTTTAGCATATATAATTGAAGAATCGTGATATATTTTTTAATATTCTTTGTAAATAATGATACAAGTACAATAAAAGTGTGTACTAAGCAAACATTCGAATTCCTCAGTTATCGCATGAAAAATGCTCGAAATATTTTCTCGATAATTATTCCGATAATATGAGATAATATCTTATGTATATATGTACATATGTCGAAATCTGCATTTCTTATCTAATCTTTTATCTTTTTACTTTTTTATTAAAATTTAATGATTGATACTGTGAAGAGAAATAAAAGTTTTGAAAATTTCAAAATCTCATAAATTTCTATATTCAATTTATTTGCAATTTAAAAATTATATAATGAAAACGAAATAAATGTCTATCACTCGTTCTTCCATTCCCCAAACCAAAAAATTAAAAAAGAACCCAAAAAAACTTCGCATAAGAAAAAATGCGAAGATCAAAGCACAAAAAAAATAAACGCAGAGAAAAAGGAGAAAAAAAGGACAAAAGGGAAAAACGCAAGACCACATCACCATCCCAAAAATGGGAACAGTTGAACTTCTTTGTCTGAATGCATTCTGCTGTTTGTTGTAGCCACGCAAGAAAATCGTCAAGCAGATTACCACTGCCAAACAGAGAATAACGTGCCGGGCAATCAGCAGGGTGTCTTCCTCTCTCCTAGTCCGCCATTTTGGACCCACGACAGCGGTTGGTGGGGTTATTATCCTCTTCTTTATCCTGGGATTTCAAATGAACCTTATCCATATCATCCTGATAATACAGCCTATATATATTTTCCCATTTACAATCAAAACTGTCCATCTTACCCTCAATTTGATTCAACCAATTGTAAAAATTCTTATTCTAATGTTTATCCACCTTACATGGTTCCTGTTTCTTTACAAAATTGTAATAATTTTAATCACAGTTGTGAACAAGCCAATAATGACATGGATGTATCTAAAATTCCTCCTATGAATATTCTGGATATTCTAGAAAATATTCAAGAGAATAATGAATTGGAAAATAAAGTTTTAAAAGAAAATAATGATGCAAATTGTCAAGAACAATGGGAAAAAGGAAATGATATGGCCAGAACTGCTAGTAATAATAGCAGAGATAGTGACTGTACTACTGCAATGAATATCACTGATGAAGAAGAATTTCCTGATGAAATAATTGCATCAGAGGAAAATAAGAATGATCAGCAGTCTGAAAAATCAGAAATTAAATCTTGTCCCAATGGAAGTCTCAATGTAAATGTTCCAAATTATACTTACATTGATACTAGTGATTCTAGTGATTCTAGTGATTCTACTGATTCTAATAATTCTACAGATTCTGAATCACAATCTGACAATGAATCCATTATTGAATCATCTAAAAGTGACAATAATTCTGAGGATTCTTCTTCTGATAGTGATGATTCTGATTCTTATTTGGCCTATTCCACTGGGTTGAATCCTCATGGAAGATTGGATAAAAATGACAATGAGAGAAATTCAATGAGAGATTATTCCAATAAAGAATATTGTAATGAAGATCAAGAAGCATCTTTCAAAAACAATATTGATTTTGAATCAGATATGGAAGAACAAATGGAAAAGAAAGAAAAAAAAACAGATATCAATACATTTCCTCATAAATTAAGTGTAATTTATGAAGATATTGAACGTCCAGACTCTGAAAGTCCTAGACCACAAATTAAAAATGTTAAAGATTGGAATAAGACACCTTTTGAAGCTACTGATGATCCTCCTGATGACTCTGATGCACCTACTGTCAGTGTGAGTTTGCCACTGAGGTTCAAATTTTCTGTATCTGAAAATAATGAGGATGTGACTACTGTAATTGTTGGAGATAGTACTATTAAGCCTGATAGAGATTATAATAATAGAGATTATAATAAAGAAGAAAAAGAAAAAAAGAAGAAATTAGAAATTCAAGAAAATAATAATCATTTAGAGAAGATCAATGATGTATCTGCGAATTTTCTGATAAAAAATAATACCAGTGTAAATTTCACTGTTAAGAAAGAGGTTAAGAAAGAAAGTTTCGATGACAAGCGAAAGGAAAAGAATCATTCTAGAATAAAAGAAGATGAAGATCCTGTTGTACCTCATGTGAACTTTACTTTAAGAAAAATTCCAACTAGATTTAATAAAATTAATTTCGAAGAGACAGTAGAAACGGAGTTCACAATCAAAAGAAAGTCTAGTGTGAAGAAAGAGGAAGATAAAACGATCAAGGCTCAAGAAGAACACTTAAACAGTACCAACGTGAAAAATAATGATTCAGTTGGTAAAGAATCTTTGAACAAAGAGAATAACACTGTTTATATTACAAGAATAAAAGAAACCAATTTAGAAACTCACGATATTAATAGAAATATTTTAAAACCGGAAGTGATCGTTTCAGAGTGCAAGTGGACAGACGACTCAAATAAAGAATATTCTAATAAATTCCAAAATACAAATTCTAACCTAAAAGATGAAATATCTTTAAAAAACAATAATTCTTTAAAGAAGAATAAAATCGAAGAAAATATCGACGAGAAGGCAGGAAAAGAATCAAAACATCTATTAAATGTACAGAATTCTCGGGAAGAAACAGACGACGAAGATAGTGGCGTCACTTCAGACATGAGTCGTATGATTTCAGAAGTAGACACAGATTCAGAATGTACTTTCTCTAAAAATAGAAAATATCAAAGAACTCAAACTCACTCGAGATTGTTCAGACTTTTGAACGATGATTCGATTCTTCCAGAAGATACAGAAAAAATTAACCAATCTTCATCAAGAGAATACTTGAGTCTTCCTCTGAAGAGCAACAATTTTAATTACGACGAAAATTACTGTTCCAATTATTCTAGTGGTGTGACTTCTCCCGAATATTCACCCATCAGTGAACAATCATGGAAAAGACTGCATGATGCGGATCAAAATGGTGATGTGTATCGTCGACAAGATCGAACTTCCTGCAAGGAGGACCCATATTATCAAGCATGGAAAATGCCTAAATCTTCAACTCCTGTATTGGACCATGATGTGGTACCATCATTAGCCTTCAAGGTACTCGAAAGTCGAAGGCCACCCTGGTCTTACAAAGTGAACGTCCTTTGTCCTAGAATCAAAAGCACAAAAAGCGTGCCACAGACATTGAAAACAGGCAAACAAACGAATTCCACGGTATCCTCTTCTAATAATTCCTCATCCTTTCAAGCTAACCTGAAAAATGACCATTGCTGATGGCCCGGGGCAGAATGAGGCCGCGTTTGGCCGCGAGCAACCACGGACGAGCCTCGCGCAACTTTTCTCTAGATTCGCAAGACTGGGCTGACTATATGCCCGGGGGGGCTACAGGCTACGTGGTTTTTTTTTCTATCGGTACATATGGTTTCCATATATTCATCTATTCGCATTTCTTCCTGATTTTTTGTATATTTTATTTGTTTTCTTTTTTTTTTATTTTTTCGTAATTGTATAAAAAAAGGCTCATATGGCTCATAAATTTTAATAATTTTGACTCGATGAGATGAAAAATTTATGCCCTTTTTTATATAATTATTTAGTTTTTTTTTATTTAATTTTTCTTCTATTATTCTAATGTTTTTTTCTATTTTTTTCTTTGTTTCTTCTTCTTTTTCTATTTTATTCGTATTTTAAGTTTGCGTTGCTCTCGAAGGCCACTGATCCTGTAAATGGATAATTTTTATTTTCTTTTTTTTCGCAATTTTCTTCACTCCGCGAACGAATCGATCCTTTTAGCCATGATTCGAAATTTCATTTTTTTTATTTTTCTTTTTACTCTTTGCTCAGATTTGCCACTAGCTTATTGGTTAAAATGTTTCCTGTATCTTGATTTTTTGTAATCATTTTCGTTTTTGTTGATTTTCTCTTATCCTTTTCTTCATTCTTCAATCAATCGAATGATCTCGATCGATAACGAACGAGATAAATTGTTGTTTATGCTATCGCAGTGTTTTTTAATATCAAAATGTTTATATACAAAGTTTATTATTCACATTCTATTTCAGAATTCAAAAGTGTGAACGAAACGAAGGCAAAATGTGATTTATTTTAATCAATTCGTAACAATTACTAACAATATTTTTGCATTGAATATGTTCCCAATAAAAATTTTGTACATGCATCGTATAATTGATCGTAAATAATGCAAATCATGCTTTTACTATAGCAATAAATTAGCATGCATGCATGCACGATGCATTGTTTCATTTGCCATCGATTAATAGCGCGACGATTATATCGCAATTTATCGAATCGATTGTTTGGATTTATCAAATCGATTAGAATTGATTATCGTTAATTAAATTAAGAAACTTGATGATCGATAATCGGTCGATCGTTAATAATTATTTATTGAAATAATTTATATTTCATTACTTTGATTAGTTTAATATTATGTTATAAATTATTGCTCGAATAATGATTATTTTTTATTATTGTTTTACTAATATATTCAATTCAGATATGTGTATTCAAATATTATCAATTTTAGTGAATTATAGTGTATTAAAACTTAAATGGAAGTCATTTGCTATATAATATTTAAAGTCAAAAAAATAAGATGCTATTTTTAAATGTGTTTTTGAATGGTTAACTACATGGTTAACAAACTAGAAAAATATAAAAATAAATAGAATAAATTAGAATTCTTCATAAAAATCGTAGCGCAATGAAGTTCGACGTTTTGATATGCTCGCAATTATTCGATTCACCATTTTTTATAAAATTTACAAAATAGGATAATAGATTATAGAAATGACATCGTTTTTTTCAATTTTTAGGTCCAGATGCAACGGATTACTGAGCAAGGACGAGTGCTTCCTTTGGAAACATGGCATTGCTAGTGTGTTTTTCTTTTTTTTTTTTTATTTTTTATTTTGTTTACGATTCGTAACGATTCGTTTACACGACGACCATCGATACCGTAGGATATTTTCCTGAACTTTCATATTTTCCTATGTCGCCCATATAAGGTTTCGTCTTGCCCCCATTCACTATCTTCTTTGTTTTATTTCTTCCTTTTTATTCCTAATCCCATATGTGTGCACATTGTTAGGGGATAAAGATTCTTAGGAAGATCGATCGATCATTCAAACGATTGATTAATAATGTTTATTAACTATATTAAAAATCACATGACCAATTTTTAACTTTTAAAGATTGAGAAGAGTTGAAAAAATAAATGGTCATAATTTCGATTTTCATTGTATGCCATTTTCATTCGAGAGGAAATTTTATCTAATTAAGACGCGAAATGTATTTTTATGGATTCATGTTACCTTCTAATCTGTCATTGTGCTATATTTATGTAAGTTGTGTAAAATAAATTATTTGTAAAGTTCATTTTAATCTTCATTTCGAATCAGTCTGTCTATCTTTGATACAATCTTTCATCAAGGTAAGAATAAATACATAAAAAATTGAAAAATAGTTTTCTTTTAAAATATCGTTGACAAAATTTACTTGATCTAATAATAATAAAATATGGAATGTATTATTATAATGTAGATTATCACAGAGTGATATAAATGCGTTTCCTGTGCATGATATATGCAATGATAGTCCATAATCCGGGCCCCCAAATGGCTTCGCATAAACGCAGTGCTCGACTGTCCATGTTACCGATGCTCCAATGGAATGGAAAATTTTGGTAGCATACCATGTGGCCGACGTATAACAGTAAACCATTCATGCCTATAAATAATCGAACTGATACCAATCGTTTCTTCATTCGAAAGAACAAATTGCACGCCAAAAAATTTTTTCTTAATAAAATTTAATTTTCTGTTATTTTTCTAAATGTATAACATAATAATGCTTATTTTGTTATACTCAGAACTTACAATTTTAAAAACCATTTTAAATTTAATTATCTAAAAAATTTCAAACTATAGTAAAATCAAATATTGAACAAATAATATTAAAACTAAATAAATAAGAAAGAATTTTAAATATGAAATTGAAGAAAGATCCAAGTTATATAAAAAAGCAATGATATTTATGAACCATATATCAGACTTTTTTCCATAATGGAATTAAGTCTGTAAACAGGTATTAAATTGTTTTGGCGTAAAACCTGTTCAGAGTTGCATAATTGTGTGAAAGTTGAACGTGTACCAGGAATTCGAAAAGGTCCACCGTTCCATACTTTAATGACATCGACGAGTAAGTAACAAGCGGAGAGAAAAGCCAGAGAAAAAGAAGTTGTCACGAATACGAATGATAATGACCTGAAATCAACAACAGTTTTTTGTATTGCAATTTATATAATATTCTTTTTTTTTTTTTTTAGAGACATACCATAGCTTTTTGTTAACAGGAATTATATTGCTAAAATGAAGAATGCATCCTATACAACTGAAAAATGCAGCCCATGCCAACCATCTTATTACGCGTTCTTTCCAATCTTTATAAGTCATCATTATTATGCCAGCGTGTAGGCCAAGAAAAACTTGGAATGTCGTTGTGAGAGTACCTTGAGAAAAAAAATACAAGAAAATAAAATATTTACAATTAAAAATAATTAAAAGAAGTCAAAGATAAAGTGAAGAAAAAAAATCTTGTAGTTATATTAAAAAAAAATAGCATTGCAATGATATCATGGATTATTTTAGAAAAAAAAATTTATAATACCCAAAATTCCTTCAGGATCATATGGTCCAGAATTATAAACCGTGGCTGAATGATGCAAATGAGGTTCTTTAAGTATCATTCTGTCGATGTAACCCGCTGCTCCACCCACGCAGTCAAAATATTTCGCATCATCGTGAAGACCACCAGGACCAAGGTAACCACTAGCAAGTAAAAATAATTGATTTAATATTTTTGTAAAAAGATGAATGTAATTCATTGAATTATACGTACATACGTGGGACATCCTGGAACTTTCAGGCAGAATGTGATGACACAGTGAATGGCCACAATCACCAGCATTACACACCATTGGGGAAGAAGCAGAAGAAAATCTTGCACTTCTTTTAACATTGGAGACTAGATATGAAAATTAAAAATTTACCAATATATATGAATCATATTATTTATTTTAACAAAAAAATTATTCCTAAAAGACACTTACTTGTGTCTTCTTGGGTTTTCTTGTCATCAAGCAGAAGTATATCAGAGCAACGATGAAATAAGTAATGCCAAATCGTTGGAGAACACCGAATATGCGAATAGTTTCTAATTGAGGACCAGTGCTCACAGTATTCAGAGACAATCCGATTAAAAACATAAGGATGCTCCTCTGTAACATACAGATAAACTAAAGTTACTTTTTGATTTAATAACTTCTTCAAATATAAATTTCTTATTATTTCTATTCTTCACATTTAATTTTTATAATTCTTTTATTAATCACCTTCACGATTCCATACAATATTATACGTCTCGGTTGCATGCGTTTCATCTGACTGGCCATGGCAATGGGGATGCACACTCCCATAATCCATATGAAACAAGGAAACAGTAAGTCACCCGGAAGTAATCCATTCCAAGTCGCATGGCCAAGGATCCTATAACCACCTGATCCATCGTTCACGAATATCATCAATAATGTACTCGCCCTGCAATGTTCAAAATTTATTATCTTCTACTACTTAGAACAATATAAAAATAAATAGAATAATAAAAGATCTACCCTCGAACCGTGTCGATCGCCTTCACTCGACGTTTCGAGGGTTGTTTCATCGCAGTTTCATCCAATTGACGTTTCATACATTTCTTCTTGCACACGTTCCATAACGATTTTAAGCCAGAAAGACCGAATAGAACGAGTATCAATACTCCAAAAATGACGAGAAGTTCTGAAAAAAATAATTTCACTCAATCAAATACACGTCTCTTTTCTGTAATCTAAATCGATATATTATCTTAGTTAATTTAAAGAATTTAATTGAAATAAAAAAGATAAGTACTATCTGCTGTCGTTTGGTAAACACTTTATTCATTTTATCTTGTATAATAAAATTTTTCTCTGATTTAAATAGATCAAATCTTTGGATCGAATCTAAAAAAGATTTATCGATTATATATAATCGAAATAATAAGTAAACTATTTAATAAATTGATCGATTAAAAAAAATTCCATTTCAAATAATAAATAATCTTACCTGTGTAAGGATAAGTTGGCGTATTCAGAGTTTTTATATTACAGCTTCGATTCTGTACAGACAATTCGTATACGCCGAACTGTCCCAAGTTCGGTGTTAGCTCGCAGATCACGTTGCTGTAACACGAGAAATACATCGTGTACGTCGGACTGGCATTAACATTTTATTGTGTTACTTTTCTACCTGCGCGTTTTATAAATGTACCTGGTATTTTTTGCGGATATAAATTCGTTAGGATCTTCAGCATCCAAAATTCTGAAACTCGTGGATCTGACTGTATCGACTATCACGCTGGAAGATAAATTTGATACGATCTGCTTGGTTCTAGTATACGGACACTGCAACGAAATCATCATTTTCGTAAAAAAAAAAAAAAAAAAAAAAATATTTATTCACGGTAGAATATTTAAAAATAAATATTTCTGGAAAAATTAATTTCAAAATTAATATATTCAAAATTCAAAATTAATAATTTCAAAATTAATATGGGGAGTATTACAGCAATAGAAGAAAAATAAATATTAAAAGAATTAATGATAAATTTGCATTACGCGTGTAAATATGTTGATTTAAAATTAAAATTATACCGTTATTAAATTAATTTTCCACTTCTCAAGTTGAACAATCGCCAATCATTATTTATTTGATGAATTTTAATATTTCTTTTTGCATCCTAGCAGATTTGCAAAAATCTGTTCAAATAAAAATATTCATAATTCTAAGATTTCCTTCAAAATTTCAACAAAATCTTTTTCGATAAAAATTTCTGGAATCAGATTCGTAGAAAGTAGTGCACAAGTATGGAAAGCACGAAATGCATAAAAAAGAGCGTGTCCTTGCGTGACTCACCAGCGCGCAATCCGCGGAGAGCAGGTAGAGCCAGGCATTCGAATCCTTGTCGTTCGTTCGTAGATTGATGCAAGCCTCGTCGTAACCGAGTGTAGATTCCTCATCGCAAAACCACTCGTCCATGGTCTCCATTTTACTCTGGGAACGTAACAAACGTTGAACATGGAAAATATCGCGGTTCACGATTCGAAAGGCGCGCGAAGAATCGTGGTTGATGATTTAACACGCATCCTTAATTTGAGAGAAATGTTTACCAGCAAGGTAAACGGTTCTATTTAGCAATCACAAGAAAATGGAACGATAAAAATTTCTTTAATTTTTTCATGTCATCATTTTACGAGCGAAACTTTATACGATCGTGGAAATTTGAAAATTTTTTATTTGAATTTTATGCAAAATTTAAATTTCTTTTAACTTAAATTTTTGAATATTATTTTTGTATCTTTTAGAAATACATTAATTTTGAAAATGGATAATTTCTACTTCAGTCAATGTTAAAAAATTGTAACTATGTAATTTTTTTAAAAATTAATTAAGGAATTATTATTATTATTAATCTAGAAAGAATTTAAGAATCATATTTCTCACGGAAGAAATTTAGATTAATCGGTATAATCGATCGCATTATTTTTTTAATCCTCATTATCTTTTACTTAATGTATCATGCATCATAATACAATGTCACATCAAGGTCGTTCAAGATCTCGAATCAAAGTAACACACAAAGATGTTCTCCAATTTAAAATCCACTTTCAAATCAATATCTTGCATAGTTTCTTTAAACATAAACACTTACAGTAATTACATAAATTTTAGAAAATCTTGGAATAATCTAGAAAACTACTCTACTAATTCTATGATGCTTCGAAATCTGTAAAATATAATAAAAAATACAAATATTTTCACTATACATACATTCACAAAACAAAAAAAAATTTAAAAAAACATAAAAGACAAAATACTTGCTATGCTTTTCTAAATTATAAAAAAAAAAAATAAAAATAAAAAAATAATAAAACACAAAATACAACATACCTGATATAATTCTTCAAAATCACAAATAAATGTACATTACGCGAGTAAAAAGACAAGTCGAGCAATCGTTACAGCACGGAAAGCAAAGACTAATCGCTCGTCCGCGAAATATATATTAAGCCAAATCGAGACGCGCGCGATGATTCCCTAATGGTGATTATGCGTTTAACGGTATAGTATATACTATATCAATGATTTGACCGACAACCGATTTCCTCCTGTTAAATATTGCGTGGACGCGGTTTGTAATCAGGCACGAGTTGGCACGAGAGTAGCGCGACAGCTTTTTAATATTGTAACCGGCGAACAGACGGGCAACTGACTAGCCGCGAATCACGTGGGTGCATCGACTGACATT